TTTTTTAAAGATTTGTATTGGGGAATTGGGGATGGGAACAGTGCTGGGGAATTGGGGAAGGGGAACAGACAAGTTGCTGTTGTTTTGTTCTTCAGTTTAGTTATGGAGGACATTGCTTCACTGGCCCAAGTTGGCACCATCATTGCGCTCTTCCCGGGCATCAGTATTGTTTTTTATATTCTGAATATATAGTCACATTTTTATATTCCCTTTTGAATTGGCTTTGTCATCCTACTGTCCCTCATTAAAGAGTTAAATACAGTATTTGACATTGTTCATCATTTATTTGTTTGAGAATTATGTTTAATAACATTTTAAAAATTGTACTTTGACAGCAACAAATTCTTAAATATGGTCAATTACTAATGACAACAGCTGTGTTTTCTATATAACATCCTTCACAGGCACCAATTAGGTGAGTTGCTTGAGATGTCAACAAGAGACTCAGGTGTTGTATTAAGGCTCTATAACACCTTGAAGAAAGTGTTTCCACTTCTACAGCTTCCAGTGATAACTTGGTATTTATCATTCAGCCTAGCCTACTCCAGGAAGCATGATTGAGCTAGAAACCAGTGAGAATCGTTTTACTCAGGTACAGACTGACACATGGAAAATTGGTACCATACATAGTGTCAAATTAATCAATCCAAGCTAGGTAAAAGGGTTGGATTGTGTTACACAATGAAATCTGACTGTTTCATAGCATGCAAGGCCTAAGGTCAGCTTTCTAGCAAGAACTGAGGTTCAGACAACTCAAACAACAGCATCCCAGGGAATCCCAGTGTTCATTAGGCTGAACAAAAAGGATTGCAAAAGCTTCTGACACAGCTAGAGCCCTGGGGACAAGATATTTTTCCAGTCTGTACAGCCAGTCCTCAATTAGGGCTTGATTTATAAGGAAGCAGTTAGGGCACAGATGGGGCAACTGTGATGGTCATCTGATAATTTCTTATTTTGCTGGACCTGAAGCTATGAAGAAGGGGCTTGTGGGGTGAATATCAGGGTAACATATCCCTTCCTCAAAACCACATAGCTCTTGATAAGCAATGATGTAAGTTTCTTGGATATATTTATTCAAAGCTCCATTCACTTCTCTCGCTCTTTTCTCTGTCTCTGAAAAGTATTTTTGTACCTTCTGTTGTCTGTATTTTTTTCTGTATATACTCTAACTTTTATCATTTTTAAATTTAAGAAACCATTGTGGTTTTATTGTTTTTTATACACTGACAAGCATTCACAGAACAATGAAATTTCCATAGCATGAGGGAATTCTAGGACTGTTGGTATTTTGGAAGGTGGTTACAAGGTTTGGATAAGATAGGATAAATTTTATATAACAAAAGGCACTGGATTCATGCAATGTTGTCTTAAGACTACCTTGTTCTATGATAGTCTTATATTCTGTTTTCCATTTCTTGAATTATTTCAACTGCTTTTTGCTGAATCTTCTTCATTTCCCCCAAATGCAATTTAAGACGCAATATTTCAAACAAAGCCAAAAATGTTTAGAACAGAAAGATTATGCCTTTCTCAATGGGAAATATCATGATGAGTTCCATCTCCAATGAATGGTGTCTATTTCTTGGTATTTCAGAAACAATTAGGAAACGCATCAGATAGCTTCAAAAGGAGTTTACATGGCACTTAATCTCCAACTAGAAATTTACTTTCCATCATTGTTGTTTCTTCTTTTGTGAATGCTTTTAGTTAAAAAAATAAACAGAAACAATAGCAAAACATGATATAGTCTATTTGAAAAAACTCCCGCAACAACTCTCATGAGGAAAACTTTACTCGCTTTCTTAGCATTTTGTACACAGATCTCTCTGGTTCCCTGCTTAGAAAACCCAGAGAGCAGTTGACCAACTATCCACAAATAGCCCTTGATTATTTAAAGGGTTTCATTTTGTCATCTTCCCTTCATGCTGCATTGGATCTTTCCATAAATATTTTCATTTCCTGGCTCTACCAGCAGGTGAAGAGGGTGGTCACATATGTTGTGTGAAAGGGGACATTCAAGTGTTTCTGGGCCCAAAATCTCTCTTCTGTGTGCTTCTCTTGAAATATTGTATAGAGGGAAGTTTCTTGGTATTAAGAATTTTTCCTTTTGAAATTCAGGATTTTTCTGCATTGCCTATGTAAATCCTTGACACCAAGCATGAATGACTACCAGGTAACTTTCTCTGAATGATTTGAGAGAACCAAGTACAACACGGAGTAGGTAGCTGGGACTGAGGACAGAAAAATACAAATTTCATCTCACTTAATATCTTGCCTAGAGCTAGTTCTAGATTAAAAATATCCTAATCTGGATAGACAGCATCTGCTAATTCTTAACCACATTAATAGAAAAGAATGTATCAGTGTTTCCTGATTTTTCATTTGTGATCCAAGATTTCCCAACCAACGTTGGGGGTGAATGTAAGTGTAGAACAGGAGAAATGGATAAAACAACACATTTGTGTATCTTTTATTTATCTTAAGCATACCTATGGTTGCTGAAAAGCCCAATAGCAGCATAATTCTGATTTCTGTAATTATCCTTTTCTACAAAATGGGTCATGGTGAGCCTCTTCTGTACATGCTGCAACGATATAAATCATTGCCTTTGGTCTATTCTTTTGGTAATTTTCAATGTATTTCAGGCACGTCCTGCTCATCCTGAGTTTGATGCTTCCCTAAAATATAAAGGTAAAGATTTTAGATCCCACATATAAGTGAGG